AATCAAAGACTCTGAAAGTTGAACACTAGTCAGGAGTGCTAGAGTCTGGATATTTAAAAAAACCCTTTATACTTTTATAATATTTAAAATACACTTTAGCATACCCTGTACTATTTTGTCCTTATAGTAACTTTGTGAGAAATTATTTTCCAGATGAAAAAGCCAAGGCTTAGTGGGCCAAGCCACTTCACTGATACCACAGTTCAGAGCAGACCAACGACTCAAGCGCAGACCTTGAGTTTCCCTGTGCAGTCCCCTCCCGACTATGTCACCACTGCCACCACAGGTTTGAGGGGTGGCTTTTTGAGGCATGCTTTTTTTTTTTTTTTTTGTAAGCAAAATGTTCACCTCCCAGACCATACATCTTTTTAGGCCCAGCTTGATTTATTGTGCTTGCTTGGTATGCAGGTGTCTGCTGACGTGCATTTTTATACACTTCTAAACTGTGAACTTACAGGCATTATCCAGAGTTAGTTATGGGTTTAATGAAGTGATCACATAGCATAAGCTTCTTTTTACAAATTGAACAATTTAAAGTATAGGAAAATGTGAATAAGCCAGGAGATAAAATCTTAGCAGATGCTGTTTTAACACCAAAATTAATTAAACCTGAGCAGAGAACTGCACTCTTAAATTAAAGCTGATAGAATTGCCATTTTGTGCCTGTGGCCACTTTAGGACCCATCTGTGATTTGTGGTAAATATAAGAAGAAAAGATAGCCACAAATTTTAAGAGGATATTTCAAACTTTCTTTATAAAAATGACAACCCTCCACCACAAATAACATTAGAGTTACCTTTCAATTTGCTACATTATCATAATTAACATTAATTTAAACTCTGCATTAATTTCCTTAAATTCTAAGGAAAGCTAATTGCTAGTTTTGCTAAGGCAAATGATAGGTATTAATAAAATACTACTTATGATAACAGCTTTCAGATAAACAGGGGATGAAAAGGGAAAAAAGGTTAAAAGTGGCTGTAAGAGGAAAGAATAAAAATAAAAAGCTTCAATGGGAAACCCAGAGACGGGCCCTACTCTTGCCCAGATATGAGCAGCCTGCAGTTGTGCAGCGTCCCTAGTGGGGGCTGAGCTGCAGAGCCTTGAGCCTGGCTGGCCCACAGTCCTGTCCCTGCTCCTCCTACCACACCCGGTGTGGCCAGCAAACGGATTGTCTGAAATGAGGAGCAGAAACTGCAGGTTGGTGGGTGTCCAGGTGCCAGAGCGGCCAACACACCCAAGCAAAGAAAACAAGCTTGTGGAAATAAAACATGTTTTTTCAGACCACAAAATAAGACCTTCTGGAAACCGTCTCTATTAGGACGATTAAGCTTCTGCAAAGGCCTAAGAGATATTTTTGATTTTAAAAAATTAAAGATTATCTTTTCCCTTCTCCAATTTGCTCTATATTACCAGAGGTGGAAGTTCTAGTAATTTATAAAATGTTTTTATTTTTACAACAACAATTACAACAACAATTTTATTTTTACTCTTCCTGGTCAGAAGAGTAGGCTAAATCTGTCTTTCCCAAGAACCTAAACTCCCCAAGTTCTGACATCAGTGGCCCTTATCTCTGGTGGATGCACCACTTAATTGCTGGCGGAGCCACTCTTGAGCACCAAATTAATACTTTCCTACCCCGCCTTGCTCATCAAAGAATGCCAGAACGTACATCCAGGGAAGAACTGAAAATCTGGGGGCACAGATTTGAGATTTTAAAATGCTTACTGTTTTGAAATACTTATACATCAAATAATATGAAAGAAAATGGAAAAGAATAGTATTTTCCCTCTCATGTTTTCTTTTTATGATCAACATTAAAAAAAAAAACCCTTTGGTATGTTTCCAAGCATGACAAATCAATAGAGTATACTCTTTTGAGTATAATTGAGGAGGAAAAAAATTTAAATCTACGCTGATTGAAAAATTTAGCATTTTATGTGCAAATGAATACACATATATGCATACATCAGATATTTCAGATACACATTAGGTTTGTTAATGAAAATTATCTAAGTGGTGAATGCTGGCAAATACTAGTCGTTTTTCAGGATTACCATGAGGAAAATGAATTTGCATTTTATTTATATATGAGAGCAGTTTATTTTCTCTTTTAATGAAATGATGCATAAGTTCCGGTAAAAGTAAAACTTCCATTATTTTGGTAACATTTACATACTCAGAATATATTTATTGTGGGCTAAAAATTAGTATAATTATTATGTGTATTAATTGAAACATCCTTACTTTATAAACAAAGGTACATAATCATGTTGGTTTCTTTTGCAGCTTAAATATTGTCATTTAAATACTATCCACATGTAGAGAGCTCCACATATTTTTTAAAAATGTAAATAATTAATTGGAGAATTCTTCACCAAGACCTTTCTTAGTTTATAAGGCCAGAGTCAGGGAGATAAATTTTTAAGGCTAAGGAGTGCCAATGGGAAAAGAAAATAGAAAATATCTGCTCAAAATTAGCTGATTCAGACCCTTCCTTATGTCTAACTCTTTGCTTTCCAAGTCTTTGGGAAATTTAGTAAAATACAGATTCATGTCCTTCACAACTTATGAATACGATATCCTCGATTTTATGCTGTTTTACAGGGGAATCAGGGGAGCATGTTGAGCAAAGTGCACACATTCAACAGCTAGATTATGGAGAGGTCTCATGACATATTTTCCTTAGGTTTCTTTGAAAAGAACTGAAGAACTGATGAAACTTTTAGGTCAAATACTCCTTTGAAAACAGGACTATAATTAACTTGCTGAGAGGCATGTATTAACACGTGCTATCTACTTAGTGGGATTTTTTTGTCCTTTTAAGTTAAACTGACATGGAAATAGTTTGAGAGAAGAATTTAAGAAATAGGTGTGGCTTTTGACTGAAAGCACATTTTCCATGCTCACCTTTATCTCAGTTGGCAGCAACCTCTTTCTATAGCAGTAGTCCCTTACCTGCCGTGCTCCGTCAACAGCTCCAGTTGTTATCACATTCCCAATGTACCGACTTCCTAAACACATCTCTTTGCCTGGCCAGTGTACATTGCTGCCTTTGTATGTCTTCCCGTGTTATGGCTATTAGCCTCACTGGGAGGGGGGGTGGATATTGAAAAACAGTTTTCGTGTTATAACCCCAGTGACTTCCTTTTCTCTCTGTCACTTCCCAACCACAGGACCATTACTGGACACCGTGCCCACCTGTCCGCTAGAGTTAGGAATAAGTACAGAAGAGTTCAATTCAGTTCAGCAAAAAGTTATGATGTGTTTGTTTTGCGCCAGGTACTATGGTAGGTGCTGGAGTGCAAAGTGTAGAAGATAATCTGCTTGGGCTCAAGGAGCTCCTGGTCTGATACCCAGTCTCATACTGCTCTTCAGCATTGTCCTGTGCACTTTGCCTATGTCCCTCTTGCTCATCACCTGTGCAAACTCTCCTGCTTCCCTGGTGCTTTCTTCCTATCTTTTATCGCTCTGTCCCTTTATCTTGCTAGTACCTTCCTTTTTAACCATAGACAACACTCTGTCCTCAAGTGATTAGAATACAAGGTATAACTCAACTCTCCAGAAAGGCTTTCTGAACTAAGTAAGAGATGTTGTAAATGTTTAACCATCCTTATTTTCCTAAATTATTTGATCATAAGCAACAATAAGACAGAGATCCCACCTTATTATCTGAATAGTCAATTAGGGGATGGGACCCCTTAGTTCCTTAGTTAATTTTAAACTTACTTGTAATTAACTTAAACTTACTTGTAATTAATGTAATTAATTGGTGATATATTTTCCTAACCATTAAAAAAATAACATTATACTTATCACATTTAAAAACAGTTTAGGAGGAAAAGCTAATGGTTTATGCAGATTCATTTGTCTTAAGAATTATTTTGAAAGAAGTATTAGAAATGAGGCTTGGGAATACCACAGAGCACTCATATTCTTGACTAGATTAAAAAAAATTAAAAAGATATTTCTTTTACCTATCCCCACAAATAGTAAGAACTTAGATATATTTATCTCCAAGAAATTGGAATATTGGATCTGTGAAAACAAAAAAATAAAGAATACTGAAAATGTTATAAAACTAAAGTATTTCTCTAGATCATTAAAATTATTTAAGATAATTTTATTTCTTAGAAACATTCATACCCTGGCTTAGTAACCTCAGGAAGCTCTCCCTTTTTCATTCCTTTTTCTGTCTATTCACCCCCACCCCCCGACCCCCCAAAATCACTGTTGCTCCACTTTCCAGAGACTACAAAAATTAAACCTCAGCCGTTCAATAAATGACTACTTTTAACATCTCTAAAGTACCCTAAACCTTTTCTTTATCTCTTTTAATTATACTTTCTTTTCTAAACAAACCCCACAGTTAGCTGAATCACAGTATTTTCTTGTTCTTTTTTTCCTTACTATTGCTGCAATACTATTTTTTCTACTGTTATTGAAAGCATGCAGTATTTCAACTACATTTGGATTAAATAAGCTTTAATCAAAAACTGGTCTTAAAAATTAATCACGGTAGCAAGGTGTGAGGAAGAAACACATTCTAACACTAACAAATGACTTGCTAGAATACAGCTTGTTTTAAGCTGGAAAGTGTTCCTAACAACAGATTTTCATTTCAAAACACCTATGAGTTTTGTACCCAGCTTCATTAATTTATACTTTCACCCAGAATGTTTCCCTTTGGGATCTTTTTAAATTTATAGCTCATATTATTATCTAATTGGTAGTAAGCCACTTCATTTTCAATATATGAAGGACATAGTTATTGACATCCTAGCTTATAAATCAATCCTGACTAGTCCAAGATAATTGATTGGATTAAATATTGCTTTATCAAGCAAGTGGCCCCGTACATTTGGTTGTTAAAATACCCAATTTGGATTAACTGTGCTTCCTGATTGCATAGCAATTGGCCTGCTAAATGTCAATCAGATTTGTTCCATGGTGTCAGTGTATCAAATTTGCATAATGCCGCATTCTGATAATTTGCTCACTATGACTCTTTGCCCTCCAGCATCTTTTTCAGGGTGTCCTTTACTTCTGTGTTCCTCAGGCTGTAGATCAGAGGGTTAAGCATGGGAATTACAAGACTATAAAACACAGAGACCACTTTGTTGTTCTTCCATGAATTCCTTGCTGTAGGTTGCCGCAGGTACAGGAAAAACAGCGTTCCATAGAAGATGGTGACAACAGTGAGGTGGGAGGCGCAGGTGGAAAATGCTTTGCACTTGCCCTCAGAAGACTGGATTCTTAAGATGGAGAAAAGGATGCAGATGTAGGAGATGACGACAGTCATGAGGGATCCAGTGAGGTTCACCGCAGAGAAGATTAAGAGCTGCTTTTCTTTGTTGTGGGTGTCAGAGCAGGAGAGGGCGAGGAGGGGGGGGTCCGCACAGTAGAAGTGGTGGATGACGTTGGAGTCGCAGAAAGACAGCTGGAAAGTCAGAACTGTCTGTATCACGGAGTTTAGGAAGCCATAGGTATAGACCCCTACCACCAACTCACTGCAGACCCGCTGCGTCATAATGGCTGTGTAAATCAGGGGGTTGCAGATAGCCATGTAGCGGTCATAGGCCATTGTGGCCAATAGGAAGCATTCGGTAGTGGCAAAAGCACTGGAGAAGTATAGCTGAGCAAAACAGCCCAAGAAAGAGATGGTTTTTTTCTTCACCAATAAATTTTGCAGCATCTTGGGCCCAATGGAAGATGAGTAACAAAGATCAATGAATGCCAGGTGACTGAGGAAATAGTACATCGGGGTGTGGAGCCTGGAGTCTGCTCTGATGAGCAGGATCATGCCGAGGTTTCCCACCAGGGTGATGAGATAAATTACCAGGAACACCACAAAGAGGGGGAGCTGAAGCTCAGGTCTGTCTGTGAATCCCATAAGGATGAATTCTGTCACTGTGGTGCGATTGCCTCTTGCCATTTTGCTCTCTCACCTGAAGCAAAAAGAAGAGATATGGCATAAAAATGATTAGATACTTAAACACAAGAGCCTTTTACCTCTTTCATAGATTAAATGATTGGCTTTATAATTCCAATAGTTAAAAGCTGTCATTAGCCATGAGGCTTCAGTCTGCTAACACAGACTCACAAAGTCTGATCTCATTTATTTTTGGAATCGGGAACGATTTTCCCAGGACAGGATCTATTTTCATGTTAACAGTGGAAGTGTTTTCAGTTCAATTCCACAAATACTTCTGGGTCCCACGTGGAGCCAAGTAGCATGCTTGGTGCTGGGATGGAGATGGGTATGACATTGTCTTTGTTCTCATGGGGTTGAGTGGAAGGGTACACAAAGCATCATTCCATAAGGGGAGGTGAGCTGAGTATTATTAGAGCTGCACAGAGTGCTGTAGGCGTTCACAGGAGGGAGATATTGAGTGTGAATGGTGGAAATAGAAAGCTTTATTCATTCATTCTTGTTCGCTTATCAAACATACATTGTCCATCTCTAATGTACCTGTGCTAAGCGAAGGTGATACACAGATGAATAAAACACGTCTGCCTTCAGTGAGCTCGCAAGCTGGTAGGAGAAACATACATGTAAATAGCTAGTTACAATTCAGTGTGGGTTGCTGTGTAAGAGAAGAATCCCCTAACTCACCCTGCCTGCTGTGAGGGTGGTCTGTAAAGCAGTCTTTAAAAAGGCAATGCCAAATTGTCCTAAATTTTAGGCTGGATATTTTAAATTATAAATGCAATACATCCACTTGGTGAAATTACCAAGTAGGACAGAGGAATATACAGAGTTTTCTTCCCTCTACTTCTAATATAATTACTTAATGCTCTTCAATGTTAACAATTCCTTTTGTATCCTTCTAAAAAATGCTTAAGTATAAACAAGTAAGAATGCACATGCACACACACACACACACACACGCTTTTCTATATAAATGAGATCATACAGTTTTGTACCTGTTTCTTTGTATACTTAGGAAGTATTTCCAAAACAACTCATAAATCCATGACATTCCTTTTCACAGTTGTATCATAATTTACTAATGAGTTCCCTCTTAATGGACATTTAAATGTTTACACTTTTTGTTTCTTTTTCTTCTGTTTCAGATAAAGCTGGAATAAATATCCCTAAACACATATGAGGATAAACTACTAGAAGTGACGTTTGGGTCAATATATATATATATATATATATATATATATTCATTTTTCTTTTTTGATGGCGATTGATAAATTGACCTCCAAGTAAGTTTCACCATGTTACACTCACTTCCAACAATATTGTGTAAGAATACTGATTTTCCCACACTGCTATCCAAAGTTTTATTCAATTTTAAACCTTTGCCATGGTGATGGTGAACATTGGTAACTCATGTTGTTTTAATTCATGTGTTTTTATGAGTAGGATTAAGCATTTCCCAAGTAATTATTTGTATGTTTTTTTTTCCTGTGAACTGTCAGTTCATTTAGTTTGTTAATTTTTCTATTATTTTATTGATTTTCTAAACATTTTATTTATATGGGGCTCTTTATTGCAAATTATTTTTCAGTTTATCACTTGTCCCTTTACTGTTAGTATAAATTTTTTTATTGTGCTATGAAGTAAGTTTTAAATTGTTTGATGTCAAATTTATCAAGCTTTTCTTTTTTGAATTATGATCTTTGTGATATGGTTATATGTGATTATATTGATATGTTTAGTTTAAAATTAAAAAAATTATCTCTTGTTTTATTCTAGTGATTTACTGGATTTCATTTTTATATTATGAACTTTGGTGTATCTGGAATTCAATTTTGATATAAGGAATGAGATGATCAACTACAGTCACCTGTTACTCAAGGACAGGAATACATTCTAAGAAATGCATCATTAAGTGATGTGTGAACCTCACAGAGAGCAGTTACACAAACCTAGATGGTACAACCTACTATGTGGCATATTTCTCCTAGGCTACAAACCTGTGTTGTGTGTTACTGTACCGAATACCGTAGGCTATTATAACACAGTGGTAAGTATTAGTGTGTCTAAACATACATAAACATAGAAAAGATACAGTAAAAATATGACATTATAATCTCATGGGACCACCATCATATATGTGGTCCATGATTGATCAGAACATTGCTATGTGTGCATGACTATGTTTTTATTTCTCCAAATGGCTAGCCAGGTGTCCAAATGCAGCTTGTTGATGAAATAATTTTCCTGATGATTTTGTTAATTTAAAACTCTGACTTTATCATATACAAAAACATCCTTAAGTACTTGAGTCAATTTCTGATTTTTTTTTTTGCAATCTTTTCTAGAGCCAGGACCAAATGTTTAAATACAATAGCTGTATAATTCATTTTAATATCTGGTGACAATTTTACTGGCCATTCTCACATATATGTTTTTCCAGATGAATACTAACATTATTTTATCAAGTTCCAAAAAAAGGAAATAATTCTGCTTGTACTTATAATGCTATTGCATTTAATTAATATGGTAATTTGGGAGGTAACTGACATCTTTACAATTGAATCTTCTTTTCTATAACTAAGGTATATATTTCATTTATTAAAAACTTTCCTTAATAGAATTTTAAAGTTTTCTTTAAACTTTACAGGCACACATCCTACTTATTTCTTTAAATTTTAAACACAGGTATTCTTTCTTTTTGTCAATATTGTAAATTTAATCTTTTTTCCTCATTTTTGTGGTCTATTTAAATAATATTTACATATAGGAAAGCTATTTATTTTTGTAAATTAACTTTATAATTATGTTCCTTACCATTTAAAAATAGTTTTCTAGTTGATTTCCTTGGGTTTTCAAATACATATTCATAAAATATGAAAGGATGTGAATTTCATCCCTCATTTCTATATAGTATTTTTTGTTCTTTTTTCTTTTCTGCTTGGATTGGCTAGTAATTTCAGAACAGTGTTAAGAAATCGTGACAATGGTGGCAGTTTTTACCTTTAACCTCTTGAAGGATGCCTCAGTGCAAGAAGACCCTCAGCACTATGGATGGCATAGGCTGAACAAAGTTACTGAGGTTTGAGAAAGACCAGACTTTAAAGACCCACAAATATTTGATGTGGTTAGAAATCAGGCTCCCAAGGAGCAGGCCTGTGTCTGGCATTGGCAGGGCAGGGCAAGAATGATAAATAAAGGCCCATATATAATTTGCCTAAATATTTAAAAGTTAAAAATCAAGATGAGAAGTTAATAAAATATGTTTTATCCTTCCTCCTCAACAACTATAACTTTATAATGAGACGGAAGGCGGAATTCTTGGGATCCCTGGAGCTCCAGGCTGGAAAGCAGTAGCATAGGAGGACTTGTCTCCAGCCCATGTGTACAAGCTCCATTCACACCACCGCGAACAGCCATCCCTCGGCTACCCTTAGCCCTAGGCGTGAGAGCATAAGCAGTGTGGCTCCTTACAATGGTGGTTTGGGAAAGACGCACTTATAGACTCTGGAATAAGCTGGGAGCCATTTGGGCAAGGAACTTTAGGGTCCTGTTACCTGGAAGATGGTCTAGAAGGGGTGCACTGTGGGTAGGTACATCCTTTTGCCCTATGAAATGTAGTACAGTAGAAAGAACCCCAGAATAGCCCTAAAGAATGGGGCCAAGGCAGGGTCTCTTTTGTTTGGATCTAAGGGAAGTACTGCTTATGAGCAAGTGAAGAGAAGCATAACTAGGAGTGAATGTCTGGGCTAGGTAATGGAGGGCTTAATATCCCATTATAAGAAGTTTGGTCTGTATCTTGCAGGGAGTAGGCAGCTTTGACATGAACTGAGATGTCCACTGGAAGATGGAAAGAACCCCCAAAAGTGAAGAATGGATTAGAGAAGAATGTTTTAGGTAGAGAGAACAATTGAGCAAGGAGTTGAGTCGGGACAGCCCAGACCATGTTTGGTGATCATGAGCATCCTTTTGGGTAAGAGCAAGTACATGTGAAAGAGATCTGTGGGAGACAGACTGGATGTGAAGAGCTCTGAATGCCAGGGAGACCTAATAACTAGTTCAGTGTGAGCGTGGACCCACCAAGGATCTGAGCAGTGGAATGACTTGACCAGTGCTCAGCTTTCAGGGAATTAGTCTGGTGGTTTGTGTGGATGAAGGGAAGGGAGAGAGCTGTCAGTGGGGACACTCACTGAGGTGTTCTCCACATCAGAGAGGGTTAGGATTTGAACTAAGGAATGATGGTAGGAATGAGGAAAGGAGACAGATATGGGAGACATCCCAAAGACAGAGTCTGTGTCACTTTGCAATTGGCTGAGACTGAGTTTTCAAGTCTGGCATACCAGGATAATAATAATGTAAGAATTGACAGTTTAATTTAATTTTTACTTTATCTCTTTCCTAAGGAGGTCTGACACAGTTTAAACACACACACACACGATTTAAACACACACACACACACACACACACACACACACACAGACAAATGTACCAAAATAAATATCATAGAATTCAAAATAGAAGACACAATTGGGAGAAAAAAGAAGGGACTTTTTCCACTGTATGTATTTAACAATATTTCTGTGTGGTAGTGATTTTAGTAGAAATAGAAAGTCTAGACTAGGAGTGGAGTAGGAGGGAAGAGTGTTGAATCCAGTTTGAGGGGATGGTGGATGCCCATTGCACAATCAGAGCTATGACCCTGATTTGGGAGCCATTGATATTGAGATGATGGTATAAGATGTAGGAATCGATGAGATCATTCAGGGAGAGAGAAGTCAGTGACAGCAAGGATTCAAGGACAGTCATTTGGGGAAATGTGTCTTTAAGGGGTAGGAAGAGGAATCAGCAAGGAAGAAAAGGTGCCCTGAGATGACTGGGAAATAGTACGGATACTTTTATTTATTTTTATTTTTTATTTTTTTGAGACAGAGTCTCGCTTTGTTGCCCAGGCTAGAGTGAGTGCCGTGGTGTCAGCCTAGCTCTCAGCAACCTCAAACTCCTGGGCT